AATGCTTCTGTCATTTCTTTAATTCATTCACTGTTAGAACCATCGAAAGTTTATGTAAACCTAGCACATATAAAATGGTCTAATCGTTTAAAACTTCACTGTTCTTTTCAAACTATGCATACATATATTCTTGAGCCAAGTAACTCTGCGTTGTCTTCAGAGCACATCAAGACAATTTGAATAAAATAAAAATCGATATATACACAAGATTAGAACGAAGACTACAATTGCACAAACACATAACAGAAGCACAACTGGCTGACGTTAAATCACAAGTTCACAACTACGGTTTACAAGTATTTATCTGTGTTACTTTGCTTACATTTTCAACAGATGACTGCACTGTCTGTTGTTCTCCCGTCATTATGTTTTCAATATAAACGAAATGAAGGAAAACACCGAAACAACTTCAACATGACGGATCGGTCTTAAGTGATTTGGACATACACATTCACGGTGAATGTGATGTAACTCAAAAGTATGCCATGAAACTAACTGTCAAATAACGTATGTAGGTGAACATTATCAGTATTTGTTTAATCATATTTGATTTAGTAAATTTATATGAGTCATGTTTATAATACGACGTCTCACGTATAAATTTTTAAATGTCGAAGTATAAATATCTATATTGCGAGCTTCATTTAATGATGCGACGAATGTTCCTCCCTGTTCGGTGTTTTCTATGTATTTAGGTATCAAGTCAACAAGATGAGTAATGATTGAATATTTACTGAATTCATCATGTTGTTTATTTTTGCAATTTGTAATCTCGACCAATTTACCAAATTAGTGTTCCATCAATCAACAACAACGACAACAATTCGCTCTGTTAAGTTGACTAGTTATCTTGAGAATATATATAAAGTATATTCATACTACTGCTAACTACACTTCATGATTCACACATTTATGATTCATATGAAGAGACTTTTATTGTCATTAGTAACAAACGGTATAAATAAAACGTTTACACATAATTCATTTGCTTTTGTTTACAAAACAATGTTTTATCACTTGAACGTGGTAAACCGTTTGATGTTTGATGTGATAGTCACTGATATAATAAATTAAATTGGTATTTTATTGAATTAAACATAAAATTATAAATGACTTTGTCGAGGTTTTCAAAAAACGGCCATAGGAGTAACAGAAAATATTCCATTCGATTGTGAAGAGTTATCAGTACTTCAAACTATGATCAAGAGGTCGATGTCATCTATAAACATTTGTATAAGAATAAATCCACAGACAGACTGATGAAACACACAGCTGTTTCAAATCAGTACTAGGAACAAGTAAACATTGATTCAGTTCAACGGTAAACATTGAAGACGTTGTCTTGACTAAAGGGAATTTCATAGAATAACAAACATGATCAGGACGTGTTACGAAAATCTATCGACAGTGAAATCAAATTTTGTACTTTTATCACTTTCACTACTAGTATGCAGCTTCCCATTAACAACATAACTTGATTACAACATGTTGTCAGTTGTTCTCGCTTCCACCGAACAAGACAATTGACAATGCTTAGATATTCAACAAACAAATAACTGTTCACTAGATAGCATGATTACCAGACTTGATTGGGAAATTTTGAAATCATTCATCACCCCTATTAATATTTTGTAAATAAATAAATGATTGGATATATATTCAGAACTGCTTCATTCAATTAAGTTAAACGTCGAAGAACCGCTGACCGAAAGTATTTTCATAATGAAATATTACTTACATTTTATACCATGTCCTGATGTTAACCAGACAAGTATTTACTACTCTGTAGTGAGTGCTTACAACACTACCAGAAATCAAACCTGAATCTTCAATATGTATTAGCAAGTGAGTTTTCAAATCATCAGTTTAGCATTTGATAGTTGACATTCTAGTTTCAGTCAGTTGAATTCCTTACGTTATGTCAAGCCTAAAATTTAATTATTTGAACAAATTTAATATAGTAAGAACGTCATTGTTTATTGGATGTGAGTTAAACAACATAGAATCTTGGATATTTCGTTGAGCACGTTTTGTCAACACCAACCATGTGAAAGTAGGCTTTACCTTCAGTAATTTATATCTTACTTGAAAATATTGTAAATAGTGAGACATTAAATTTGCTCAGATTTTACTCTTAATCGCCTCATTATTAGATATATGCCTTTCTAAATATTTCAACTTATGTCGATCATGATATTAAAATGATTGGTTGACCACTCGAATCCTTTAGACCATGAACGTTTGTTTAGTCGTAATTCTGGGGTGCTTCACAATTTTCACCTTTAAATAGTTTATTAATGCCATTAAGTTATTCGATGACTTATCAAAAGAGTTATTTGTTGGTTTTGGATTGTTAGTCTGTGACAGAAATTTCGAAGTGAAATTATCTTTGATCTATGTGAACGTATGGAGTTATTATCGAACGTGTTCCATTTATATAGCTGATCATTTTCAATACGCTCATTAAATATGTAAATTTTGACTAGAAATATAAATTTAAGTGAACTCAAGCAAGTACTCGTAGCTCATTTTTGTTCGCAAAACCACATAGCACACTAAGAAATTTCGATAGATCCGAATTAGAAATCGTTAAGCCATATCAACGTTGAAATATTTGTCATCTATGACATTGCACGATCATTGAGCGCCATCGTGAATTGACTTAATAGTACTATTTGATGAGTTATATTTTATCTCAGAAGTCTACATTTTCATTTTCTACCTTCAGTGATAAATGTTTGTGCTCTAACATATTCTGAAATCCCTCTTCGAGTCCTCATTATCTTCATTCTGCTTGAATTTCATGTTATCCGAAATATTACAATTAAGTGATCAAGAACAGAGAAGGAATTGATGCAGATCGATTTATCAAGTACGCGTAACTGAAAAATTGTGATACACCCACCTAGTGTACGGTATTTGCTCTCCTGTGAGTTTCTTCATATATCAGATCTCCAATCAATGTTGGACAAATAAAGTTTAGATAATTCCCGACTGTCCATTGATCACCTCTTTAAGTATTACTATTTAAGTATTACTGTTTAAAGTATTCTTCAGAACTAATTACCCCAGTCATGTTGGTCCCAGTTACAGTCAACTGTCTCAACAATGCTTTATTCGTCTATTTAATAGAATTCTAAACATACACTCCCGCTATTTTATATAGAGCAGGAATTATTATAGTCCACTGACTAACCAATGCATACGTTTTCTTTTGTGGGTGATTCTCACTACCATTACATGACTTCAGAGTTTTGTAGTTCAGTCAAAATATACTACTGCTAGAATGTTTGTTCTTGCTCTTTTCAAAATGATAAAGGGAACTATGTGTATCAAAACATACTAGTTGTAGAAAAAACAAAGAATGAGAGAAACTAACCACTATTCAAATGTCTATTGCCTAAACACACGTCTCTGTGATCGACAAATTTCCACTGTACACCATCACATGGTCAACAAACTTCTAAGATCATGTATAAGCGTAAGTTAAGAGGTATCATGAGTTGGTGAGATCAAAAGTGGAACGCTCAAACTTATAGAACTTACGACAATGAAACATGATTAAGGAGTATTGATTATCGTGATGACGGTTTTTGAGTTGGACCTTTTCATACACATTTCGTGTGGCCTTTGATTTCTCTGCAGAAATTATATCACACATATTTTCTTGTTCACTGATATTCACGAAAAAAGATTGTGTGAGCGTCCGATCGCTGATTTTCTCTTCTGAACTACATTTCTTTAACATTTCAATACATATCAATGCTTAACTTTACAATTATACATTATATGCCTCCCTCGTTTGTTTGGCTTTGGATAACTTCGGAAAACGCCAGTATTAGGCAATATCAGACTTTCGTTAACCGCCAGCATAACACGATCTTCTGCTGTGCTTAGTGAAAATATTTTCATCATCAGGTTACCATAACCCATTTCATGAAAACAAATCCAGAAAGTTTGTCATTATTAATAACACCCTAATGACCAAAGCGTAGTAAAATAACAGTTGATTTGAAGAATTCAGTTCGTTTCTGATAGTTTTTTCAATGTCATTTATGATAAAGTTCGTGAATTGGTTGAAGTTAGACATTAACACCGTTGGATGCCGGCTCAGTGGCCTAATGGTTAAGTGCTCGCGCGCGAAGCCAGTAGGTCCTGGGTTCGAGCCCCGGGTGGTGCGGGGTCGTGGATGCGCACTGCTGAGGAGTCCCATACTAGGACGAAACGGCCGTCCAGTGCTGCCAGGTTTTCAATGGTGGTCTAGCTTCAACTGACTCATGATTTCTATCTGTGAAATTTCTAAAGTAAGCTTATGAACAAAATATCTGGTCGAAAATCATCAACAGCTGGTTCCACTTCAGTGGTGATAATAATCTTAGAAGAGTCATTTTACTTCCTACTGCAGTCACATAACTACTTAATCATTAGTCTTTGATCATTCATGTATGTCAGACACGATAAAACACTAATTAGTCATGGTTCCTTTAGAAATATTTGAATAACTATTTCATCTTATAATATCTTTCCAAAGTTTCCTTATTTCCTTTGGCTATCTAGCTATCAGTTCATGATGTACACTGTCTTCAAATTGAATAACTTGTATATGTATTTCACATTATTGCAGTAGCTTGTTTCATTTCGTTGTATATTGGTTATAAAATTAAGGTTAAAACACGAATTTCAGCGAAGGGATCTCTTTTCAACGAATTTATTATCAAGCTGTACAATCGTATATATATGAAAATTTTGTTTTTGTAAAAGTACTAATTCCGTGAGGAAATGTGAACACAGTTAATAAAAAAGGTTATAATAGATTACGTAATATGAATAATAATAATAATAACAATAGATTTAGTGATTATAATAAGATGATTAAAATGTTTTTGTTATAATAATTAAGGGTCATAGAGATCCCTTCGCTGAAATTCGTGTTTTAATTTTAATGTTTAAATGGGAATTATCTGTCAATAAAATTAAGGGTTTATGTTATCTTATTCACCATGCAGTTGAAATCATTCAGTCGTACATATCCACAATCAACTGCCGGTCAACCTGTCGAACTGAGATTCGATGTGGATTCAGGTGTGTTTTATTATGCTCTTGTACCAACACAGGAGTATTGTACAAACGTGAACTCAGCATTGTTAGTTGCAGAGATTTTTGTTCCAATGTCCATTCATTATACATATGGAGTGAGAACTCGTTTTAGACCAGAACAATTATATTATAAAATGTATGAAAATAATACTAATTTAATTTTTGTCTATGCACCATGTACGTTGATCAACAACAATATTGAACAAATGGAAATAACGATCAAACCAAAACAAACACAAGATGAGCATTCAGACAACAATTATACTCGTTTACCAACTTATTCGAAATCTATATCAATATTGTTAATTGTGAACTCTTTGATATTTTCACATCTTTCAACATATTTTGTCTAAACTAAAGAAATATTACATGATAAAATTTGAATCATTACTGTAATACACTTAGACTGCAATAAACTGCATGCGTTGCGTTACTTCATAGAATGTATCAAATTTACTTTCATTTTCACGAGTTACCTACTTGTAGTTTAGAAAATGTAAACTAAAATTACATGAATTAAAAAATGAATGCACATAAAGATTATGTAGAAAATATGAAAAAAGCGTATTGCATGAAGAAATTAGCGAAATACAAGAATCAATAATTCGTAATAATTGAATATTGACAAAAAACAAATTCATTAGTGTTAGTGATAGGGTTAGCGTTAGGTTTATGGGTTTGGTTATAGTAAGCTCATTAAACTATTGTATTATTTCTCTGATCATTGTAATTTGGACACACAATCCACTATTTAAATATCTGTGCGAGTTTGGTTAGGGATAGGGATAGGGTTTGGGTTAGGTTATTGAGACAGTAAGCTACATATTATTGAAATGCTTCATCAGAAGTGTCGAGATATTTGGCAACAAAGGATATTTCATTTATGGATTTGTAAAGAATGAGACGATTAAAATGACAGGAAGAAAAATTAAAATTAGATTAATCTACTCATCATGATTTTTTTCAACAATATTTCCGTTTTGTGCTAATGTGGTATGGCAACTTGGACCGCTACAAATATATGCCTGGTCCTATGTTGTAGCTGACTGACGTTTTTCAATTCAATGTGATGATTACTCAATGTGGTTTCTGTTTCTGTTTCCCAGTGTGATATTCTGTTCTGCATAACATACGGTATTGCTGTATTAAGTGAACATGAACTAAACTTATCGTGACATGTAGAATGTGATTTATTACCGTAAGTACTATTCATATATATGAATTTACCCTAATTATTAATCAAAATGTGTGTGCAAATCAATACATAAATGAGTTTATTTCCGACTAAGATCGATGTCTTAGTATTTTGTGACCAATAAATCTTCACTTGTATCAGTCCTCATTGTGATGATTGAGGTGGTTCATCTCTTTACAAATACAAGTGATAAGCGACTCCGACACAACAATGAGCGACAATCAGATATAACATGTATTATTCAGTGGAGAAGACATATCAACAATGCATCCGGCTTGCGAGAGATTGGTATAAATCTAGTTCAAATCGGGTAATTACAGCACAAAATCTACACAATTTAATAAATATCATACACTAGATGTTTCTGTGAATCTGTTTTTACCATATGAGTCTATTTCTGAATAACATAAAGGTAATCAACTAAACGAACTGCTATTTAAGCTGTCACTTCCAAACAGTTTTCATAGTAGCATCATCAGTCGTGTACCATTTCAAAATTCTTGTAAAATGAGCATCGAGACCTCATTATTAATACTCATTCTTCAGAATGCAAATGAATGCAAACGAATGTCTGAGAGATCGGACTATTTATAACCTCAAACGTTGTTTAGTATAATTTGTTGCAGTAGCTAACTGAGAACCCAGTTCACTTCATTTTGGCAATTAAGCTAAATAAACGTCTTCCCCAGAAAAACGAGTTTATGATGTTTTGAGGTAACAATCAACTTTCCGAGTAAATTTCTATTGTACAATTTTATTTCCAACAATTTTGTATCACTGAAGTCAAGAAATGATGCCGAAATCCGGCGATTTGACTAAATAACGTATGTTATCTTTATTTTCTTGTCAGTATATTTCAGTAGGCCACAGAAAGAAGCTTGTTATTGTCACAAAATATTTACATTAAAAACATTTTAGAAGTGCATTGATGCAGTGTGTTTTTAGTTATCATTTTGATGAAGGTTAGGTCAAACAATGAATAATTATTCTGTATAAGCAAATGATTTTTTGCAAACGTTTATTCAGCGCCTTCCTAATAGCTAAACACAATGAAAATAATGTACATTAACACGAATATGTTTATAAACATTGAAAAAATGCGATTCAGCGGAGAATTTCGGTTTATTTTAAAGACTGTTTGTATGAGATACTCCAATTTTTATGAAGCTACACATGAAATATTGGGACTAAATTCTTGTTCGGAGACTGGAATCTAATTACACATTCACATTCGGTTGTATAAAATTATCAAACACTTAAATGTCAGTAAAACTATTTAAGTATAATATCTGGAACCAACATAATGGTGAGAGAACCTACCTTTCAGTCTGTTGGGATTCTGCGATAATCTGAACAACGTTTCGAAAGTATTTTTATTCAAGCTACCTAGAAATCCTATTAGATACACGTATCCCAGTGCTTTGACACTAAACAATTTAAGATTTCGACAAAAGATTTGTAAATTGCACTAGAATTAAACGGAAACTACACCCAGGAAGAAAAGGAATATCTATCTGAGTAAAGGTAAGACAAATCACCTGTTGAGGTTGTCAAACATTATCATAGACGTTTATCTATTAACGCTAGTTTATCATTTGATATGTTTCTAAGAATATGGTCGTTATAATAAGTCAGTTTTTGGGACATACTTAAGGAAAGTTATACAATATCTTCTTTTCTAGTGTTAAAACTTGTAACTACGATTTCAATACTCAAACATTATTAATATTGTAAATGCTCACACTAAACTCGATATCAATTTGTTAGTTCGTTGGAGCATGAGGATGAAGAATTTCAAGAGTCATAAAAAGCTAAGCAACTTACCATCACCTAGCGTTGAATAAAATGTTGCAAAAGGACGATTTTAGATGCTTTTCATCAAAATTAGAAAATGTTTAACAAGATGAATTCAACGATTAAACTTGAGAAGACACATTTCTTATCGATGAAGTATCTTTGAAATTTGCAAACAGTTTTTTCTCATATCACGCTTCCGTATATTTTTAAACTACGGATAATGTCATCACTGGAGATGATTTAATTATTTGGTGACTGAATATAACAGTCACAGTTAGAAAATTAAACATTAATGATAAATCGTTTTTCATTCATGTATTCATATATCATTGTAAAGGTGTCTATGAGCATCTTAACAAAATGTCAAAACAACATGAAATTCAATTTACAGAAGTAGATGTTCATCAAAATCAATTCGAAGTGTTAATTAAGTTCAAGTGAAACCAGAAGAACTTGAGCATCTCTTCAAATGATGAAAGTCACTAAATATGGAGCATTAATACAACTGTACTTCTAAATACTAGATTTCGCTTATGGTGCTCATTATAAAACTGTTCTTCTTTTCACATTATTGATAACGTTGATTTTGGATAAGAGGTCTACGACTCTGTATTTGGATCATTTTTCGTCAAAGTAATCGTTGTAATACTATCTTAGTTTTTGAGTAGTAATCGAGTATTTATTAAGATTAATGATTCCTTACAATTCAAACTTATACTAGAAGTTTCGATTTCAATCATCAGTAATAAGAATCTGCCGATATTTTGTAAAAACACGTTTTCTGTACACATGATACTGCTGGATGTAAGATTTACCAATCTAATCAGAATTTCAATGTGTACAAGATAGAATACTGAAGCGAAATTAGGTGTTCAAAAAAATGATGTATACCAGGAACGTGATCATGAAAAGTGCTATGTCTGAGGCTGCAATAAATAGCACAGAATACTAAACATATAAAAGTTTTCAATATGAGAATTTATTCATCTCGACAAATTGATATAAATTGTCCTTCAAAACAATGAAATCACGGAGAACGTACCTCCCTTCATATTTGAAGTGCTCATTTACGCTGAACAGGAAATAAAATAAATATAAGCGAGACATTACGTAACTTATATACGAATGCTCGTCCGAATTCGAACTAATAGATTCACAATAGTTGTTCGTTGAGTTCATATTTGCAAAACACTCAATGAATGAACATTTCATTCAGTAGTCTGATTTAGGCTTTTTCAATGGAAATAATCAAGTATCATAACAATCGGATATAAATACAAGGTGTACACATTGTTATTTCTTTATTTAATTATTTGGTCTGAATAATATGTCCCGTACATGGACAATTTGTGAATTATTTATTCATGATAGATGATGTTGTTCCTCACTCAATTTCCTTGTAAAATCTTAAAACAGTCAACCAAGTGAAAGGTTTTCTTAATTGAGATGCCTGCATAATAAGTTACTTGTTGTCCCACAATTTATTTGTATAAAACACCCAATTAACCGTTTCACATTCAGTGTAGATTTAATCTACCTCAATCGTGTCAGACAACATTACGATTATCAGAATGGGACTCCTCAGCAGTGCGCACCCACGACCCCGCTGAACATTACGATTGATTGACATCTATCCTTTCAATAAATTGCTTAATGATTAAGGGTTAAAATCAATTTTGAAATGTACTGAGAAGCAAATGAGTAAAAGGAATGTTATTTAGCGGTAGTGAAATACGGTATTAATTCAACATTTATTCAGTTAAACGTTCAAGAGTTATTTTACTAAGCATTTTATATTTAAATTAACACAATAAAATTCTACTGTACAAACTCACCAATCATTCAAAGCTGTTCCGACTAAAATAGGAAGTATACGTTATTGAAAATAAAATCGTAATCATAGTGATCATTCACTCATAACGTGCCTAAGCAATCCAAAATAAATCACACCATTCATGCTCATCAGTATTATTCGATCTTATTTTGATAATTTTATGTTTTATACAAACTTGTAAGATAATGAAACATTAAAGCGATAAAGCGATTTTAATGTTTACATATTATGTTATACAGTGTCATTTGTCTGATCATCAAATGTGATATTGAAATCTGAGTTCGATCAGTTCATATTTACATATGAAATCTTTGTAGATGCGATTCAGAAATAGATAGAGCAGTAAGATGATAATGACTCAGATGATACATATTTGTCGAATTATTGACGCTAATACTGTTCTATATGCATATAATAGTCAATATACAAGGAACCCTATTAGAAACATCAAAATACTCACCTAAATGACACTGACATTTTACTAGCAAAATAAGATGTATGTTTGTTAATTAGGAAATCAATTCTGA